GAGGAATTTGTATACAGTCAGCAATTCCAAAACTTCTCGACAAACTAGTGACTTCTCACTTATCAAAACTAACAAATAATATAATAATACCCCAACAGCATGGCTTTCAAAGGGGGAGGAGCACAGTGTCAAACTTGTTGGTCTACCAAGATGATATATTGGGTGTCTTTGAGGGGAAGTACCAGGTGGACAGCATCTATACTGACTTCTCAAAGGCATTTGATAAAACAAATCATCGTTATTTAATCAGTAAATTAGGAGCCATTGGTATAGCTGGCAAATGGCTTGATTGGTATGATAGTTTTCTTGTGGGTAATACCCAGAGCATTAAGATAAATGGTGTGTTGTCTCAATCTGTTGACGTCCTCTCTGGAGTACCACAGAGGACACATTGTGGTCCTCTACTTTTTGTCCTCTTTGTTAACGATGTTGAAAAAATCATTAAGTATTCAAAATTTCTCAACTTTGCTGATGATAAAAAAATTTATAAAGGCATTACTTGTCAGTATCAAATTCAGCTACAAGAGGATCTCGGCAGATTTAGCGATTGGTGCAAACTAAATGAATTAAAATTGAACATTGATAAATGTTGTGTTATTACTGTTCACAGGAAGTAATAGTATATTACATAACGAGAGTTGTAAGAAGCTTATTACATGCGAGTAAAAAAGTTGCGCGCGAGCCGCGTAGCAGCGAGCGCAGTAATTTTACAAGCATGTAATAAGCTTACAACTTAAGTTGTGTACTATACTTTTTCTTACTATTATTTTCGTTTATAAAAATAAAAATTAAATTACCACTATATTTACACTGACAGATTAATAATTTTTAATCTGTCAAAATAACGTCTGTTAATTCGTTTCCATGGTAACTCGACCAACTGACTTACAAGGCTTATGTGATATTACACATTTTTATATAACTGAAGCGTAATTTTTTTTATTACGTGCTAGTCATTTACGTGTCAGTATCTGTTATGATGCATTTACTTAGCATCCAAATAGTAGGTAATATACAATTTACTAGTAAGCAAGTAGAAAAACAATTTTAAATTACGATTGTAGCATTGATAACACTCAGCTGTCTAGGCAGGACTGTGTTAAGGATTTAGGTGTTTATTTTGATTGTAAATTAGCATTTCGTAATCATCTAGAGGTCACAGTAAACACTGCATTTAAACAATTAGTGTTTATAACTAGAAACACTTCTCAATTTTCATGTTTTGTTTTACTAATTCTTTTTAATAGTCTCATTCGTTCCAGACTAGAATATGCAATAGTTGTATGGGGACCTTACTATCAAACCTCTATAGACAAGCTTGATCGTGTTCAGCATAAATTTGGTAAACACTATCATTACCATAGTGCTTTTCATGACCTTTCGGTCCCATATAGTTATAGTATGATAGCTCATCACTTAAAAATGGTTTCTATGAATCGGCGAAAAGATTATTTTTGCCTAATATTCCTTTACAAAATTGCTAATAATTTGATAAATTGCCCTGAACTTTTAAATCGATTAGGTCTTAACACTCTTCATGGAACTAGACATACTTCATTATTTCATCTGCCATTTCATCAATTAATTATGAATACTTCAAGCCTCTTACTCATATGGTGAGACTATATAATAGGTACCAAAGTGATCTGGACTTATTTTTCCAGTCCTTAGAACAATTTAAAAATGTGATAAAGAGACTGCTATGTGTGTGATATTAGTTTGTATTCAAGTTAATTATTAGTTTTTTTGTTAAACTTTACTAATTATTGTCCAATGTTATGCTTAGTTTGTAAAATTTTACATATTATATTATGTTCCAATGTAAATGGTATATTCGTTAATAAATAATAAATATAACTTGACTATCCACATTCTTTTTTTTTAACAGTTTTATGAGTTTCTGATGTCGTACTCTATCAAAAGCCTTTTGATAATCTATAAAGCAGACATAGAGATCCTGGTTCATATCTAGTCGTCTTTGCGAGAGGACGTTAAAACCAAAATTAAAAAAGAGACCGTTGGAAAAGCTAAATTATACTAATTGGGATACTACTTAATTAACCATCCACCACATTCGCCCGATTTAAGCCCGTGTGACTAACACACTTACACTTAAGTTGGTATTAAGAGAGAATTATAAACTTCAATTATATAGCAAACCACTTACAAAGAGGACAAAATATCTTAATAAGTTTCTATAAACATAAACATTCCTTTATTCGTCTTCTTCACTTTATAAAACGTTAAAAATTTTTATATGCTCTATATATTTCATTTCTCCACTGATTTATTTAATTGTTTGTGTAAAATGTTTCTGAATATCTCAAGTTAGAACGTTCTCGATGAGAAAAAACTTTCTCCCTCTCTCTCTCTCTCTCTCTCTCTCTCCTCTCTCTACTCTCTCTCTCTCCTCTCTTCTCTCTCTCTCTCCTCTTCTCTCTCTCTCTCTCTCTCTCTCTCTGTCTTTCTCGTTTTCTGTCTCTCAATACCAAATAAAGTTTAAATGGCTCGGAGGACGCCGTGTTAAAAAAGATGGTGACGTTATAGGCAAAACATCACACTGGCTTGAGAAGCTTGGAGCAAAATTACGTCTCACAAGGAATAAAATGTATTGCGAAATGTATCTTACCAAATATAGTGGGGAACAGGAAAATAAATGAGAAAAAATATTAAAATATCTCTGCACTACACAATGAAAATTTGATCTGCAGAAATTTAACAAAAAAAATGTAGATCGAGGAAATTCAGTTAATTAATATTCAGCTGCAATTAATAAAAAGATCTTGAATGAAAAGTGTTGTAGAATAAAATTAAATAAATATCACATAAATTTTATTTAGTTTCTATATGATTCATACAATGACACCAATTTATTCACAGATTATTGGCAATATTAAAAAAGAACAAAAGATTATTGCTATCAGTTCATAATAGATCACAATGCAAATACTTAGCAACATGATATGCATTTTTCTTAGAATTTATTCACTTTATCGATATAAATTATGATCATCCTCGATTTTTTTAGTGGCTGAAGGTGGATTGATATAACTAAGAAATTATTCTGCGAACGAGGAATATGATACTGTAATCTCAAAAAAAATGAGAAATTTACTATTTATCTATGAAATTGTTGTATAAGATTAATTTCTTTGAAAATTTATTATTGCTATTAATTATTGTTGTACATATTGGTATACTTCTGCGTAGGTCTCAATGAAGATGGAGATTATTCTTATTTGTAAAAAACAAAGTTTTGTCTAATGTGTACAGATTTTCTTACACAAAATATTTAGTTTAAACTTCTGTTTTGGTTTTTCCCTATTATTTGATTCCAATCTATTATTTATGGTTATTTTCTTTTGCTCTAATCTGAAATTGATTGTAGTTCTTCATAATATTCTTTAATTGTTTCCTCCAATTAATTTATTAATTTTAGTTGAAGAATCTACACAATTAGTGTCAACTAGCGGACCAACTCGACATCCAAGTTTTTTAAATGAAATTTTTATTTTGCGAGAAAAATTAAGAGATCAATACAAACAATATAAGCAAGAGTATACATAACATTCATCAATAATAATGCAAGTAAAAAAGTTTTAAATATCACGAAATATTTGGTCGAAAACAATGTTTTTTGTTACAATGTCTCCATTTTCTGAAAACTTTTGCTTGGCACCGGGAGTTATTTAAACTTTTACTTTTTACTTTTTAATAAAAACGAAACCGGAAGTCGACCTCAAAACCGGAATGCAAATTTAGTTCATCAAATGTCGACATGGATATCATTTAGCAGTTAATTTTGCATGCTGATCACGAATCCGGTGTCAGATTTGCTCTATCTTGATGTTTTATGCGCGTTTCGGGTCACTTCCGGTGTCGGATCGCAACCGGAAGTACATATTTAGATTCGTCTCGACAAGACCTTTCGATCCATATATACATTGTGGGGTCTAAAATTTAAAGTAAATTTTAACTTCCGGTCATCTCAAAACCGGAAGTGAATTTTTGTACCAAAAGTATATCTTGACAATCTCATACGTAATACTAATAATATTCCGAAGAAATATTCTAATTATCTAATATGGTTTTTGAGTAAAGTGGTGGACAAGAAAAGGGCTTAGCGTTTTAGTATATAAGATTAAAAAATAAAAATAGCCATTATGATTGCCAATCTCCATAGGGAGATAACACTCTAAGAAGAAGAAGACATTAACACAGCATACTGATTGATAGATATGCTAGAAAACATCCATGACTTCTTAAATCTGGTATATCTGATTGTTATTTCTATTTCCACAGTATTTATTTCCTTGTCTTCCCTCATGCTACTCTGTTTGAAGGATCATGTACTAAAGACTCATACAGTTGTACAAGATTTTAGCACTGTTGTGATCTTTCTAAAAAAGATCAGCTTCATATATCTCATTAACCAAGTACTTACAATTGGTTTCTTATGGTCACCATATTATATTCACATAACAACAGCAACCAAAAAGAAAATCAAAAAATAATTTTTCGTTATGCAAATTTGCTACCCAATTCTGAATGAAACAGCCTGTACTATTCTCCTCAATTGACTTAAGTGCCACAATATATTGAAACAAAACAATCAACTACTATTTAACTTCCAAAAAAGAAGAAAATTATTTTAACAAACAAACATATATTTATTTTTGTAACAACCTTAATAGAAGGGTTAAAGTGGTCTAGGAAACTGGCCAAAGAATATCTCTTAACATTAAGGTAGTGGATAACTATCGATAGAGTAACAAAAATCAATATAAATAACAGGGGAATGAATTTACAAACATGAAGGTTAACAGAATAGCTGGTTTAAAATTTTTTAAAGTTCATTACAAACTATCAAAAACACAAATGATAAATGAACTATATGTAAGCCATATTACTTGAATTTAATACATTCTGTCAGAAGATGTGAACCTAGAAAGAAGGTGAAAAAAGACTTACTGTTGTGATTGTCTGATTAAATCTATACATCATGCTATTAAATCCTTCAAAAACATTCAAATTAAGTAAATTTATATTTATCTAATTTCTTTTTCATTGAGTTATTTTTTTGTTGAAATTCATTCATGTTTTTTCTTGGGGTCACCTATTTTTTTATAAAATTTTAGTATGTGTCAAATTTAAAAAATCTATCTTTGTAGCATAAAGTTCATTCCAGTAGAATTATATTTATACTTGTAATTATAACTAAGAACTTGGAGTACACTTTGTACACCCATTTTTATTATTAAATATTGTGTTTTTTTTATTGTTTTTAACTATTTGACCCAAGTTACTAAATGTCAACCAAACAAGCCTTGTTCTTTTTTTGTCTCAATAGTCTGTCACTTTTTTACACTGATATATACAGTGAAATCAGTGTAAAACAAAATCATACGACTGTTAACCAATTTTTCGGTATAGGCAGTATTCTACATTAGCTATGTGAGATTTTTTACATTTAACAGGTAATCACCAAAATTCTCTGTTAAGACAGGTTTAAGGTCTTCCATGTGTCACTGTGTAACTCACATATCCATAATGTATTAAGAAAATATTCTTACCTGCACTGGTACTACAAGAGGAGGGTGATCACATTGAGGAACAGTGTTCACCTTTCTAACTGGTTCTAGGGAATATATATTTTCTTTATGTTGAACAGTAGTTGCCAATGTAACCTGAAAAGTAACAATTTGTAAAATTTTGAAACATCTAATTTACTTTTAAATTAAGGACTTTTTAATACATTAGAGATTAGAGGAATACCTTATAAATGACAAAATGTAAATAATTAAATGGTCAATATCCTTGCATGTTATAGAGGTCCATAAACAACATTCCTATCTTTCAACTAGGAATTATAATCTTTCTTGAGAGCTATTTACAGGTCTATATTTAGTTTATTGTTAAAACATGAATTTGCAATTTTTTAGGATAATGGAATGAAAAGGAGGGTATACCTCCTTCTCCAATGAATGGTTACCTAGATAATATATTGATTTATGAACAAGTTCACAATGTCACATTAGTTACCAGTCTAATAAAGCAGTATACATTCTATAAAATTTTATGTTTTTATCAGTTTTTCAACTGAACTATATACAATAAACCACAATTTGTTTATTTAGTCCATAGTAACATTGATCATATATCAAATTTGGGTAGAAGTTTCAAAGCAGTACTAAGAGGCCATGTGTTATGCTCACATCTCAAAGTAATTTATTCTAATTGGTAAGATTATTCTAAACACATTTGAAGAAAGATTGTTTCATTTTTGTAAAATATTTCAACAAATAAGACACAATTTTCAAACATAATAAAACTTAAAAGACCCAATAGGTGGAAGATAATTTACTTATCCATTGCAAATATAACTTTCTGGTGTTACATTGCTACAAAGTGTGTAGGTATTACTTATAAAGGATAATTAAACATTTGTACCACCTCAAAAGCACTCCAAGTATTTAGACAAGTACTAATTTGACTTAGTTATCTTTGTATCTAAGTTTTTGATTCTTTTTACACCAATGTTTATTCTTTTACTTTCTATTTTTTGCTATATCTCCATGTATATGTTTGTTCACTTTCTCTATAAAAGAAGTTTTGGTACTAGTGTAATAAGCCGGAACCATGTTTACGGAGATGAAATTTATATTAATGAATTCTGCTTCACTTACAAATGATTGTGCAATGATTTTTTTGCAGTGCAAGACATTATTTTTTATGTTAGTTTAATTAGTGGGACTAGCAATGTTTGCTCTATGGACATTTTTTTTATCTGAAGTAGCTTACTTAATTTGTCAAATAATCATCTAACCTTTTTAATTGGTCATGTGTTTTACTCTGGTTTTCATATTCCTTGATTTCCCTAATTTGTTTATTTTCATTTTCTCCACATGTCAGGTATACAAAATAGAATAAAGAATATAGGTAATAGTATAAATATAAGGAACATATAATACGAGTACACAATATTAAAGGACAATTAGAGACTTACTCTGTTAGGGGAATTTGATGAATTAGAATGAACGGGTGTGGGAACTGTAAGTCTGTTTGTGCTGCTGCTATCTCCTCTGTGTCTAAAGGCGTTCTTAACCCTAAGGTGCATCTTAATAATACTCCTTCTAACACTATTGCTTCTTCTAGTATGTTGAGCCATATTATCACTACTATATGATGAGACAGCTCTTCTGTACACAACAGGCTCATCAGCACTATTATTCTCTACATTATCCACAGAATTTCTCCTTATTCTTAACTGCCGTAGGCGTGACAACCAATTTTTGGTTTTATTGTTAGAATTCTCCATTGCTATGAGATAATAGTTATCGCTGAATTGGAGGTGGGAGTTTTAAACCATATTCTTACTTGGAACGTTGAGCAATGCTAAAAGAGATACAATAACAAAAATTAAATAATTATGTTGTAAACGAATCACAAATACGGAAGTAATTTTCTTATTTGACTTTTTTTCCCACCGAGTTGCCAGATGCGATTTTTTAAATCCCCCACATTTAAAAATTAAAATTAAATTTAAAAAAACATGATTAGAAAAACGGACGTCATTGATTATGAGTAGAATTGGAACGACGAGGCTTGTGAATCCCATTTGTATTACCTCATTAATTTCCAAATTTCTTAGCCTTCCGTTTTAGTTATATTCTGTATTTAACGTCACTTTAATCCACAGCCGATATATGGAAGTACTTATTTCTAAAACTTACATACATATGACCACACGACGGTGGTCTATTAAGACAAAATGATCTATATATCAAAACTAAAGGCCTATATTTTTGTAAAATATTTAGATAAGTACATTTTTTGGGTGCCTTAAAGGTATTTACTGAAAAAACCAGATATGAATAGAATAGCCTTTTCTTCCAGTTCTATGTACATTCGCAAATTTGTGACCACTGACCACCTAAAATCCTTCACAATTTTTCCCCCAAAAAATCCCCCATCCGTTTTAGCTCATAAAAATTCCCCCAGACGCTTTGAAATTACCCCAAAAATGGGGGGAAATACCCCAATCTGGCAACTCTGCCCCAACCCAACAAGTTTGACATTAATGTCATAAGTCATTGTTTTGATGGGAGTAAATACCAAACATTGTGAAGTTAGTTAGAACAACGTTCAAGGACACAAAGTGACACTTTTTTAGAATTGCAAATATTTTTATGTAAATTATATATATAAATTATAATATGCTTGATTTTGATCAAATTTGTGTTTTGGTAAGTGTAAATAGTAGTAAAGACAATTAAAAATCCAAATGATTCAATAAAAATAATTATTTTGATTGATTTCCTAGATGGAAGAAAGAACAAAGACAGAAAACATAAAAAGAAGAATATTTGATGGCATTTGTCACTGTCAGTTGTGGCAAGTTGGAGGTATCATGTCACAATTTTGTATTTTCAAACAAAAATGTCTAAGAACAACATATTTAAAGCAGCAATATTGTTAATTTGTGTATTTATTCAAAATGGACAGTGCACCCATTTAAAGGGAACGTTTAAATCGGACGAATTCTTTAAGTTTCTAATAAAATTCGGTTTCCAAAAGACTGATCAGCACCAAGCAGAATCTAGTCATGGATATATTTTCGGAAACATAACTTCTAAACAGCAGTTTTCAGTTCCTATAACGTTTGCCGTACTTGATAGGCAGTATTTTCTAGATTATTATAAAAACAGAGTTATTTATGACAAAGATCAAGCATGTAAGAGAATGTTTAGTACTCTTAAAACTAGAGCATATGATAGCAAATGTAGTAAAGAAGGAAAGGATTATTTGAGGAGGATCCCTTGTACAAAAAATAAACTATGCGAAGACGAAGATAATCCTTATCATGTCGTGAAAAATAATCAGTTTACTTATGTCATCCAGGACTTTAAACAACCCTCGTAAGTATTTTTTTTATTTGTTTATATACTTTTTAATTATATCATGTATTTGAACATACATACACATTAGAACTGCATATGTTTCTGTGTACATAGCCCACAGAACTAATTTGACTGATGTTTCTAATTAAATAGCTAGGTAAATAAATAAATAAATAAGCATATTTATTTAAGATTATATTATTAAACATTTATTATCATTTCCAGTCACAGTTTAATCTTGTTTAAATAGGATAACATGTTTTATAACTGTTTGTATGCCGTAACTCATTTTTTTTAAACATCTTTTGGGACAGTAACCACAAAATCAATTTTATATTACTGAAAAAGTTATCTAGCAAAAGCAAATATTCTGCATTAGCTCATATAGGCTTGGGCATAATAGTTCATCATAAAGAGCACTCAGTTTAGTTTAAATGTGAGAAGTGAACTAGGTTACTCTTGTAGTTCACTAGTTTATTAACTCAAAGAGTTACTAAGCATGAGAGATTTATTTACATTTGAGCAAAATGTAAGATTATTTTATCTTTTGTACATAAATTTATTTTTGATAACACCTATTTTTATTTATATTAGCATTAAAAATGTTTTATTACAAAATTCATTATTGTTTTTTTTTTTGATAATGTGGTCAAAATCATTAATAAGAAAATAAAGGACAAATTAAATAGTATTTATTTAAAAAATAAAACCAGTACTCTAACACAATTTATATGAAAGTAGCTAAAATTAATACATTATAAAATAGATTTAAGTGACTTATTTTACATATTTGTATGAAAAATATTCATTTCGAAACTTTACTCGATTTTAAAAGAGTTCTATGTTCATTTACTATTTGACCTGTGCCAGAAAAAATCCGTTCACATGGCACAGAAGTTGCGACCACACAAAATCAATTTAAAATTAATGAGTATAAATTTGAATAACCTTTTTTCTCTAATCCCACCATTCTAGTGGATTGCTTTTTCTATCTAGATAGTCCCCACCTAAATATTTGTCCAACTCTATAATGCCAGCCATTTGTTTATTTTCTGGTCTAATGATTTTTATAGTTTCCTCATCAAAGTCATCCCAAATGCTCTTCAGCTGGTTTCTGTCTTCACTGACTGTAATATTTATGTTTACATTGTTTCTCTTTCTTGATTAACTTCCGGCAAAAATACAACCGCAAGTTTATTTTGAAGTCCCTGTAATGGCTTCTCACAAGCTTTGACATTTGTAAAACCTTGATTTCTAAACCTTGGATCCAAAATAGTACACTCTGCAAAAAGCTCATTATCTTCTATATTTTGAAATCGATCTCTCATTTCCTCTTTTAAAACATCTAATAATGCAGTCACTTTAAGATTGTCTGTAGAACTTCTGGATAAAAATTTATCAATAATTTTACAAAACACAATAACTTTTGATAATGTTACATTTTTTTCGGAACAAAGTTCTGTTGTTACTTCATAAAATGGTTACAGGAGTGGTAGTACCTCTTTTATAATGCCCCAGTCATCTTGCTACATGTAAAGGTCGTTCTGCAAAAGGGCTGTAGTTGTAATAATTTTATTTTAAATATACGCTCTAACATTTCAAATGAAGAATTCCAATGAGTTGAAACCTCTTGTTTCAGTTTTAGAAGTGGTAAGTTCATTTGTCTTTGGGCATCTTGTAATTTACATAGTCCCTGAGTGCTTCTTTTAAAATATTGTACAATAGATTTCACCTTTGCAAGAGTATCTGATATTTTCCGTTTTGCTTTCTGACCAACCAAATTTAATGAATGTGCAAAGGACCCAAGTGATGTCCAATTGCCCATTTTAACAGTTAATAAAATATTTTGCGCATTATCACTTACAACAGCAGCTATTTTGTGATAAATTTGCCATTCTTGCGTTTTTGAGGAAATCTAACATGTTTTCAGCAGTATGTCTTTCATTATATTGGATGCAGCCTAACTTAGGAGAACAAAGCTTTGATTGTTCGTCAATATAATGAGCTGTTACAGCAATGTAACTTTCATTAGAGTGGGATGTCCATGAATCAGTAGTAAGGCACACAGCTTGTGCGTTATTTAACTTTATTTGTAATTCTTTTGCTATTTGCTGATGTGTTTTTATGAGCAAATTTTCAGATAATTTTTTCCTAAATGGTAATTGATAATTTGGACAATGAGATACCATTTTAATGAATTCTTTAAATTCTTTTTCTTCAACCATTCTTAATGCATGATACCCTATAGCAATCATTTTGATAACTTGTTTATCGATTTGTTCTACTTTATGTATTGATGGCGGCTTTCGACAAAATTTGTTATTGGTGGTTTGAGATCTTGCTTTGGTACTTGAGGAAGGTGATGTGTGACCAGAAACATCTTCACTATTCATTACTTGGATTTCAGGTATAAGTTCAGACTGTTCCACTGATGTTAAGACTATGGGATGCTTACTTCTCATATGGCGACTTAAGTTTCCATTTGAACCATAAGCAATGCTAATTGACTGGGAGCAGTAATTGCATTAGGCTCTTTTGTCTCCATGTTCCGTAAAATAGTCTCAAAGAGCACTGTGCTTTCTTTTCGAACGCATAGTATTTTTTTGAATCTGAAATCAAAAAGACTTAATTGAAACTTTCTTACAATAATTGTACACACTTATTATTATACACAAACTTACAATTAGGTACTATATAAACATACAATTATTATTATATACAAAAATTAATAATTAATAAACATAAAATAATTATTCTGTTATACAGATTTAGCCATATGGCTCACACTCCCTCTAAGGGAAAAATTCACTCATCCCAGATACCTGCGGTATCAAAAGGATTGAGCTCTGGTGGGACTCTTTCCTTGTTATCCAGCCCTAGGTGACTTGATATGCTGGAGTATCTCCCAAAAATTTTCGTACACATCTGCACATTAAGAGTAGTACAGCTTTCTGCATGGTCTTGTAGAGATATTCATTCAGACCTAGCTTTTTTATGCTTTCTCGTAGGTCTTTGGAATGACTCCAGTAGTAGAGAGAATAATAGGTATTGTCTGAGTACTTTCCATTCTCCACTGTTTTTGTATTTGAATTTCCAGATCCCTGTACTTGGCGATTTTTTCGTTCTGTTTTACACGAAGATTATTGTTGTTGGGTATCGCCACATCAATTAATGTTGTTTGTCTCTAGTTTATTAACTAGTATGAGATCTGGTCTATTATGTGTCACTGTTTGGTCTGTGAGCACCATGCGGTCCCAGTATAGCTTGTAGTTGTCAAGTATATATAGTATAGTTCTCAAGTATACTCTCAGGAACATATTGATAATATGAAAGATGGTTTGTTTGTAGAAGTCCCAGTTTAAAAGCTATCTCTTGATGGAGGATCTTCCCTACTAAGTTGTTCCTTATATTCAGTTGCAGCAAATGCCTGACAGCTCCCGGTAAGATGTTGGATAGTTTCTTGGGCTTGGCATCCATTTCAGCATTTGTCATTTTGGACCTGACGATATATTTGACGATATATTTCAGGTAATTTTTGGTTGGTATAACCTGATCATGAATGGCCAGTAGTGAACCTTCTGTTTCCTCTGAACCTCCTCCTAAATACCGCGATAATGTAGTTCTTTCTACTGCACTTCAAGGATAGTGTTTTTGTGCCTGTGCGAGGTGTGTTCATACTTTTCTCTGAAGAGTTTATATATCCGTTTTAGTCCACTTAATAATCCCAAATGAGTAGCTAAGCGCGGAAAATGCTTAGGTGTTTAATGCCTTAAACAAATTCTTACTATTAAGATGTGAGCGGAGTAGCTGTTTTACCCTTCATATGAACTCTGATGTTAATTCGATTTTCATTTTTTTATGGTCAATTTTCCGCGCTTGCTGTACTCCTAGATATTTATACATGTCATTTTCGCCCATATCCTCGATGTTTTGGTCATTTTGCATGTCGAATTCCCCAGGCCGAACCTTTCCCTTGACTATATTTAGTACACGACATTTGTCTAACCCAAAGTGCATACAGATATCATTTGAACAAGTTTCTACAGTTTTTAGCATTTGATCTAAGTGATTTCGAGTGGAAGCCATTAGTTTCAAATCATCCATATACAACAGATGATTAAGCTTCGCCACTACAGTTTTGTTGTTTTTAATACTAAAACCTGAATCAGTGGAGTTCAATAGCCAGGATAGTAGGTTCATCGCTAGACATAACCACAAAGGACTCAGCGAGTCACCTTGGAATAGGCCGCGCTCAATTGCGATATTTTCCGTTTCGATATTGTTTTCACCAGGTATTTGGAGGTGAATTTTAGTCTTCCAATCTGTCATTATATGTCTTAAGAAGGTCACTATATTATCATCGACTTTATATATTCTTAATATATTTACCAGCCATTCATGCTGCACTGAGTCAAAGGCTTTCTTATAGTCAATAAAGGCAGTGAAGAGGTTCCTTTTTTTGGTGTATGCCTGGTTAGAAATTGGTTACTTGGCTGGATCTTGGGTATTATTTTGATCCTTCGGTATTAAATAAGTTGTTCCCTGAGTTAGGAATGATGGTATTTCCTGCGGATTAGAAATAACATGATTAATTAATGTTGACAAGCACTCATGAGCACTCCAGAACTTCTTAAGCCAGAAGTTTTGAACTCCATCTGGTCCAGGAGATTTCCAGTTATGAAGCTCTGATGATATTAGAGACTTCTTCTGTGGTGAAGAGTTCATAAACAGTTGTGCGGTAGTGTTGACAGCTGTGCGTCATATCTTCTATCCATCCAGTATTGGTGTTAAGAACAGCTTATTGTATTGTACTCTCTTTGATGATATTAGAGACTTCTTCTGTGGTGAAGGGTTCATAGACAGTTGTGCGGTAGTGTTGACAGCTGTGTGTCGTATCTTCTATCCATCCAGTATTGTACTTGTATTGTATTATACATAATATTATTCTACACAATTATTATACACAAAAACAATTTTTACTTACATAGATATATCACCAGTTATCAGCTCACCCTCACTGTA